GGGGCTGAGCCCACGGGTCTCGTCACTTCTGCGCCCGCAGGATGGCCGGCAGGGGCTGCTGTCTCTCTGAGAAGCCCTGGCCCCGCTGTCCGTGGAGCTGCAGGCGGGAGCGACCCACTCAGGGCAGCAGCCCCCAGGCTGGTCTGTTCCCATTTCCGCTTTTCTGTCACGTGTTATTACGATTTTCCCCAGATGTGTCCTTGCTGGTAGGCACTGCAAATCAGCTAAACCAGGATGTCAAGAAAGCCGAGAAGGAGGGAGGGGAGAGGTCCACTCCGGGGTCGCTCGCGTGGCCTCTTGCAGGCCGAGGTGCGGACCATCTGCGGGCGTCCCTCCCGCGCAGCGAGGCGTCCGCGCTGGGTCTGCGGGCGGCCGGGGCGGGCAGGGCTGTCCTTCCTCCCAGTCTCGTCCCAACCAGACTGACCTCGGGGGAGCCTGCGGTCCCTTGTGTGCTGTTTAATGTGGTTCCAACCTCTCGATCTGTCAACCTTCCGGGACAGTGTCCCGGGGGGAGCAGATGCAAAAGGTAAGTAATTTACTCATTTGGAGCACAAGTTACCCTAACTGGACATTTCCGTGGCTTGTTGCTGTCTTCTGAGGATGTGTGGGCCGGCTGAAGTCTGAAGAACTTTGGAGAAAAATACATTGAGAAATATCACGGGGGTTTCCTTCCAGACGGGAGGTCACTTGCTTAAAACTGTCAACACAGACAGAGAGGAGCCATCGGGTGGGCGATAAACTCTGCGAGAGGAAGGTAGGTTTTAGAGGTTTATAGAAATTGAAATATTGGACTGAATAAAGAGCAACAAACCGGAGGAACTCCCTGAGCCTCTGAACTGGTGTCGCGGGCGGATGCGGGCGGTGGGAGCAGCAGGTTTGGCTGGGGTCCCGCTGGCTCAGACAGAGCCCCGACGCCCTGCGGGCTCCCTCCCTCCCAGACCACCCACAGCCCCGGCCTCCAGTCTCTGCCCTGCAACCTCCCTGGTCTCTCCGGGGTTTCAACTCCACTCTTGCCTTTTGAACGTGGGTGCTTCCGTGCAGAGCAGCGGCGTCCTGAGCGTGCATGTCTGTCTTTGGGGCAGGCCTGGCCTCGCGCCCTGTCCTGGTTCCGGGCCCTGCAGGACCTGGCGAAGGATGCCCTGACACACCGAGGTCAGGCCATGCCTCCTGGGCCTGGGCCACACGGAGCAAAGCCACCAGCGAGGCCATGGTGCCACTGAGGCCCCAGCATGAGTGAGCGGGTGGGCTCACCCTCTTTCCCGAGACAGGTGTGGTGGCACCACCGACTCAGGGAAACAGCACACGGGTTTGGACGGGTTTCCCTCCGACTCCAGAGCCTGCCACTTTGTTCCCTTGAAGAGCACTGTGCCCTGAGCTGACAGTGAGGATCACAGAAGACTATGGGGCGCAAAGCCGCTTGCATTTTGGAACCTGCTTGAACTTGACAGCTGGCAGCACCATCGCGGGAACAGCCGTGCAGGTCAGCCCCTGACAGCAGCTGTGGTCAGTGCTGGGCGGGTGGGCGGGGGTGTGAGGCCTGGGATCTACCCGCTGGAGATGGGGCTGCAGCCCCCCAGCCCCCCGGGGCGGCGCCGGGAACTCACCATCCTGCGGGCGCCGAGGGCACGCAGGCGGCGTGTTCAGAAGGTGCGTGGGGCACCAGCAGTCCCACAGGAAATCGCCCAGAGAGCAGCGTGGTTTCAGCTTTGGTCGTACCTGCTGGCGACCACGGCGTCTTTACAACTGGGGGCCGGAGGCGCCTTGTCCGACCACAGGGGTTGGGGCAGCTCACCGCCAGGGCCAAGCGGGTGGTGGGAGTGTGGCAGGGCCAGAGCCAGCCCTGCTGGTTCTCCTCCCCTCGTGCCCCAGGGCCACGGGCAGCCGCCCAGGTGTCTACACCTCAGACTCTCAGACGCGCTCAGGAAAGTGCTTGCAGCCGAGCTGCAGCCCACACGCCAGGCTGGGCATTCTCTGTCCTTCCGGAAAGCCTCTCCAGCGTAAGTGTTACTTGTCAGGAATAAAAGCTCAGCGCACAGCTGAGATTCCAAACTCTCCGGGCGAGGGTAGCCCAGCTGATTCCCGCAGTCTTGACGGGCCTGCGTGGAGTGGGCTGGGGGCCGGGGTGGGGAGAGGGTGGGACGGACTCGAGGAGGAGGGCCCCCAACCGGGGCCGCCCGGCGGTTCTCACGGGAGGGCCAAAGGGTCAGACAGGAGGTGGAGACGGGGCTGATGCTGGGGAGGACAGCGCACATGCGCAGGGCCCGAGGGGCCGTGCTGGCCCCCTGCCCTGACCTCTGGCTCACCCTTCATCTGCCAGTGACAAGGACCCATTTTGCAAACGAGGATCCAAATGTGAGGATACAGAACCTCGGACACGGCTGCCCCAGAGGCCTGGACGTGCTGGGGGCAACAGGTGGCTGGCTCGGGTCACCGAGCTGGAGGTGCAGCTGGGCTGTGCCTGGAACGTGACCCTCAGGCCTCTGAGAGGCTGGCGCCGGCCCCCAGCCTGCGGGCCGGGGGGCAGCTCTGCGGGCAGCGCTGACCTCTGGCTAAAAGCTTCTCCCTTGTTTTGACATTTCAAATTGAACAAGAAGATGCACCGGTGACTCAGAACCCCTCCTTGTGGGGAGTCGCATCTGCCCTAGCGACTCGCCGTCGTTGTCCGAGCCTCGGCCACCTTGGCCTCCCTGTCCTCCGGCCATCGGCATTCCCCGCACGCGCTGGCCGCTGTCCCTCACACACACACGCATACACACAATGCATTATTTACAGGCGTCAGCCTTTCCGGAATCCAAGCGGGGGGGCAGCACAGGAAGTGCCCCTGCCTTCAGGACGAGCCCCCCCCCGCTGCTCACGGTGGCCGCACCCCCTTCTCTGGAGAGAGACCCGACCTCCAAGCTCGGTGTCCCTGCAGCGGAAGCCCACCCACATCCCCTGCCATCAGTTCAGCCAACTTTTTGGGGGAAGGGGCCGGCAGGGCTGCGGTGGGCAGCCGCGTGTGGAGCCTAGGGGCCGGAGTGGGAGGCGCCCAGCCCGGGGCCGGAGGAAGCTTTCACAGGTCACAGCCTGGGGTGGGGGCAGGACGCCGTCTCCCGTGAAGCCAGTGAGTCAACGCTGCAGCCTGCCGGCACCTCATTAGTATGGTCTGTGAGCAGCCAGCAGAAGGTCCACTGGGCGAGGGCAGCCTGGAGCCCCGGCCCCTGCCCGCAGCCTGGCACGGGGCAGTTCCTGCTCCTGCCCGGGGCCCGTGCGGGGGTGGGCGGCCCCGCACGTACTCACCATGAGCACAGAGAAGTCACTGAGGTGTGAGCAGGGGGTGGAGGTGGCGCTGCCTGCCCGGCCGATTATGTTGCACCCTTCTCCCCTCCAGCTTCCATGGCCGTCTGGAAGGTCAAGGTCCCGAACAGCGGCCACGGGGACGAGCCCCTGGCGACCGCGGTGGGGCGGGCAAGGGTGGAGAGGCCTCCCCCATCTGCGAAGACAGGGCAGGGTCAGGTGGGGGGGTCCCCCTCCGCAGGGGACCCCCAGCATGGCCGGCAGCACCTCCCAAAGTTGGCCCCCACCTTGGCTCCTCTCCACCAGCCAGCCTGTTGGAGTGTCTGTCTCGGGCCCGTCTGGGCAGCAGAGGTTCCGGGCCAACCTGGGCCTCAGGGCCTCGGAGGGACCTGGCCCACAGCCACACGCTGCGCGGGGACCCTTCCTTCCCCGTGTTTGAAACCCCACCTCTGCTCACCATCCCAGCACAAGACACTCAACCCAGTCTTGGGCTGCAAGAAACACGCACGGCCTGCCTGTCAGTTTAAATCAAGGGAGTCAACAGAGCTTGAATTAATCTCCCAGGGAACAGCCAGCCCGGGCGGACGGAAGCCTCTGCTGCCTGGACATGGCTGGACCTCAGGGTCTGTGTCCCCCCACAGACTGAGTCCTTTGGCGGCTCCGGGCCGTCAGTGGAACCCAAAGTTATCCAGAATCTGCACTCGGAACAGCAGGAATCGCCTCCCTGGCTTGGCGCCCAGGAAGCGGCCAGGGAGTGGACACCACGGCCAGTGGGCTCCGAGCTTGCCTCCCCGGGCCCTGTCGCTGCCTCACTGGGGCCCACCTGCCACAAACCCCGGAGACGCACAGTCCAACTTCTCACCTATTTTGGTGAAAACAGCTGGAGTGGCCACGGTCCTGTGCCTCCCGTTGGCGGCGAGCCGCGGTGAGTTCTCGGGTCTGGGGAGCAGTTTTCCATCCCAGAGGCAGCGCTCTGGAGCCTGCAAGTGGAGTTATCAACAGATTGCAGGACCGCAGCCCAGCGCCGGCCGGGGCTCTGCACCCCGGAGGATGAGTCAGAGCCAGGAGCAGCCGACATTCAGTGCAATTCTCAGCAGGCAGCTTCCCGAACTCTGCGTGAGGACTGCCAGCGGCCGCTGCGCCTGCTCCCGCGGGCGGCGACGGTCAGGGACGAGGGATGGTCGGAAGCAGGAGCCGTAACCATGGGGATGGGGGAGGCGCTGATGGCGCGGCGCGGTGGCCGGCTCCCTGCGGCAGGGCCGGAATGGTTCGTCCCAGCCAGCCCGCTGCCAGCCTGCCGCCCGTCACAATGCAGAGACGATTTAAAGAGACAACCGAAGGTTTTGCCTTTGCTTCCAGCAGAGTCGGGCACCTCACATTAAAGCACGTCCCCGAGAGGACGCAGGAGGAGGCCTGGTGTTTTTGTTTCACTCTCAGAGGAAATCCCGTCCATCTAGGGCTCCGACAACAGACACACGAACAAGGAAATTGATTCTGGAGACGTTTTCACAGTCCTCGTATTAAAATGTTCTCAAATCCAAATACGGCCACACCGAGGTGAACACACGGGTCGGTGCCAGCGTGAGTCAGCAGGGTCCTCCTGCCAGTGTGGACGGCCTCAGCCATGCAGAAAGAGCCCCCGCAGACCCCTGCCCGGTTCAGGGTCCCAGCCCCCAGCCTGGGTGGCAGAGACCAGTGACAGGGCGTCAAGAAGAGGCAGCAGGTGGAGGGAAGGGCCCACAGGTGGGGGGGGGAGGGGGCCAAGGCCCAGCCAGCGGGACCTCTCGGTGGGGCATTCCCAGCCCTCCTGTCCCTCATCCCACCCAGTATTCCTGACGCTCCATGTCCCTGACCCTCCTGACTTTCCCGTTGCCCTTCTGTGGGCTGCTGTGATGGGTCCTGAACTTCTGACGAGGGACACGAAACCCCAAGGGGTGAAGTGACTTTCCAGTTGCCCAGAGACTGGGCATCAAGGCTGGGTGGAGACCCTCCCGCCCCAAGCCCGGCCCCGGAGTCCTGGCACTGCTCCCTCAGGGGCTGGAGGGCTCATGGAGCTCCCTGGGGGCCCAGTGGGTGGTCCTGGGCAAGTGGGGTTTGGGGGAGTTGGGAAGGCCCACCCTGACCTGGGGGGCATTCTGCTCAGACTCCCCCAGGCTGGGTGGTCCCCACGGACCCGTGCCCACCTACAGGTCCCTTCGCAGACTCCAGGGCAGGGGCACAGGTGAGCACAGGGCAGCCCCTTGCTGCCGGCAGGGGCTCCCAGCCCGGAGATGACAGAAAGACGGGCGTGAGCTGCCTGGCACGGGGCCCTGTACCGCAGCAGCAGCAGGGCACGGAGGAGAGGCCGTGCCGGGGGCTGTCCCTCTGCCCTGTGCACAGTCTCCTGTCTGACCCTGCGCCCTCTCCCCTAGAGGCTGTGACCTGCCCTGGCCTCAGAGCAGGTGGGGGCCGGGACCAGTGGTGGCTTCTGGGAGAACTTGCAGGAGGTGTGTGCGGGTGCAGAGAGACAGGGAGGGGTGGCCTGGAGGAGCACCCCCCGCCCAGGCCCCAGTGCTGCCCTGTGGGCCCGGGGCTGCGGCCCACAGGCCCCAAAGGCTCACCAAGACCAGACTCACCAGGGGTCCAGGGGGATGCATGGGGGGCCTTGAGGGTTTTGGGGCCCTGGGGTCTGAGTGGGGTGCACAGAGGGCCTGTGTGCTTCGGGGGTCCCCCAGAGGGGACTTCAGGCAGACAGGCCTGTCTGACTACCACCATCCTGACCTTGCATTTGGGGGCCTGGACCTGGGGGCAGCTGGCCCCCTGGATCCCAGTGTTAGTTTGGGTAGGGGGGCGTCTCTCGGGAAGAGAAACTGGGCCTCGGGCTTTGTGAGTGGTCGGGGTGCCCAGCCCTCCTCACAGCTGCCCCGCCAGCCCCTCCTTGGGCTTGGACGACCCGCCCCCAGGCCTCTGAGCTGCCTGCGGAGGGGATGTGGGCCCAGCGGTCCTCACGCTGCCCCACAGTGTCGAGCTCTGTACTCAGCACAGGGCTGCGCCTGCGAGGTGGGGAGACTGAGGCCGCAGCTGTCAGCTGCTTCACCGGCCCCCGTGTTAGCGGCAGAGCCAGGCTGGGGAAAGCGGCCACCGAGGCCGCCCTGGGCCTTCAGAGGCTGGCGCTGCTGGGAGCCTCAGGCCTTCTGCCTCCTGCGGTGACAGCCGCAGCTCAGAGGGCCCACAGGGACCCCCGTGGACCGGGTTGCGTCCTGGGTGTCGTGGACACTGCACCCTCCCTTTGTTGCTGGGCCTCAGGTGGCTGTGGCCAGGTGTGCCCCTGGCTGCCTTCTGCCTCGAGCCCCGTGTGGAAATAGCATCGTGGGCCCCGAGCTGTCGTCCATCAGCAAATGGAGCCTCTGCTTTCTGGAATCTGCAGCTGACCACGGGAGACAGCTTCAGTGCACCTCTCGCCCTTTACAATCTACTAGCACACTGAAGACTCACCTTCTGAACAAGGTATTCGTGAAGCACAGGCCTCCCACTGGCACCGAGAACTCACTCCTGAAACGTGTTTGGCTTGACTTATTTCACAGCCGTAAGACAAGTGTCTAGCAGACTGCGGCTCCCGGTCCCTCGCTGCGCTGAGTCTCCACCTACCTCCTGAAGAGGCTAGTTTCTGGCACATGCAGAGCTCAGGACTCGCGGCCACAGAGGTCTTCCCAGCGCAGGCGGGGCTTGGCCATCAGGGCAGCAGCCCTGACCTCCTCTCTGCAGCCCCCAGCACTTTATGCGGCTTCCCTCTGATGGAAAGTCACTTCTGAGGCAGAGGTGACCGGCAGCTTCTGCTGGGGTGTTGGGGGTTGTGTGTGGCCGGGACAGCCGCTCAGGGGCAGCCTGGGGCTTGCAGCATGGGCCCACCTTGTCCCAACAGGAACCTCGGGCAGAGAGCCAGCTGCTGCCCCACCCAGGCTGGAGGCTGGAGGTCCTGGTCCCCAGGCCCAGGACACGTGTGTGGAGACGAGCCAGTTTCTCTCTGCGCCTTTAGACCTCGGGAACCTGCAGGCTGCTCGTGTGAAGACTGGAATGGCCAGGGGACGATGCTGGGATCAAGGGTCGGATGGTGGATGGGGGGTCAGCTCAGGGAGATGCGGGCACTCCTTCCTTTCCCTGGACGCATGTCTGGCCCCACCTCCCCGTGCAGGAGCTCACTGAAGACGCAGCAGTGGCGGTGGGAACAGCCTCCGGCGGGCTGCTGGGTCTCAAGCTGGACTCGCCCCCTCTATGGACACTTTAGGGATCCTCGGGGCAGCTCACTTTCCGGCCGTTTCCTGGGGAGTCTGACAGCCTGAGGTGGGAGCTGTCTGTGCCGGATGGAGGTGGCGCCTCCAGGCTGTGTGCAGCTCGGCCCGAGAGGCTGGACACCCAGTACCCGACCCATCGTGTACTTAGCATCCGCGGCTCATGGAGCAGAATTAAAGCTGCTCTCCTGTTGCCGTGGCAACCAGCCCTCCCCCCACAGCAGCATCAGTTTGAATTTGTGCAGAATGTTTCTAACAAAGATTTACACCAACAATTCACTCTGCCCTGAGGTGGCACAGAGTCTGAGAACCAGACAGGCCAATGAACAAACTTATCATTTTCTCAATGGTGCCTTTCCTCCGTGAAGGCTCTCGGAGCCCCCAGGCTACCCCCGGTGCAACTGCCCACTGACCACTGTGACCAACGGGCAGCCTCAGGTGCTTGAGAGCCCCTCACTAACAATGGGGTGCCTCCTCTGAGAAACATCTCAGCTGGGGGTCGGGGCACAGGGCCGCCCTCTCTTGGCCGAGCCTGAGCAGGCCCTCCTTGGGTTCCGCAGGTTGCGGGGTCGGGCTGGGTATGGCATGGGGTGGCTCCCAGGCAGGTGAGCATGGTGCCCCGTCCCTCATCTCTCAGAGCCCCGTGCCTCCCCTGCCTCCAGGAGCTCTCAGTCCTGGACCCCTGACGTCCTGGGTGAGCCCATCAGTGGGACGCCTTGGTGACCCCGGCTCTCTGCAGTACATGAGGGGTGTGGGGTGTGGGAGCAAACACTGAGAACGCGGCCCACCGCCATTCTCTAAAGGACCAACGTCCCGTGGTGTGCCCCACAGGCAGGGCCTGCCCTTGGCACCCAGCGCGGGTGTCGCCCAGTGGAGACTCGCAGCCTCAGCCCTGGCCAGTCGGAGGATGTGTCTGAGCTTCCCTCGGAGACCAGGGACCCTGAGCTGTAAACCAGCTTCTGCCCACTGTCACCTCTGAGGGCCCTGGGCTGCACACCCTCACGGGCAGACCTGCACACGCATGACCGCCTGGTGGGGTCCCACTGACCAAGGGCCCCCTGTGGCACCGGGTGGGGAGGACGTGCCAGCCACGGGCTCGGGCTCCGACGCGTCCCACACTCTGCCGTGGGAGCCCTCATGTGCAGCGGAGGCTTAACAGGGGCTGATCACGTGTGCTGGTCATGCCCCACCCAGGCGTCCACTGAGAGGGACGGTGGAGCCACAGCCCTGACGCTGGCTCTGAGGGGACCAGGGGACCACAGGGAGTTCCCTCACTTCCAGGACACATCCTCTTCTGGACTCAGAGTTAATCTGGGGACGTCTGTGGACGTGTCACTGGCGTCTCCTGCTTCCACTGTCCTTCGTCAAAGCACCTCTTCCTGTCCACCTGGAGTCAGGAAAGAAGCAGGGACTTCCAGTGGTCAGGTGGTTTCAGACTTGAGGGAAGTCCAGTTTGCAGACCGGAATCATTATGCAAAGTTGCTGTTTCATGGAAACATCCAGCCTCCTGGGACTGGAGCCGGCGTCTTGGGGGTCCCGCCAGGAGTGCAGGGTCTTGGGGAAATCCCTTCTGTGAGGGCCTTTGTCTGCTGTCCCTGCTCTGTCCGTGCGGGGACGCCACCCCCTGCTGCCTCCACCCCCGGGGCAGTGGACGCAGCGGGAAGAGGAGACAACCAGCTGGCCTGAGCTGTCCTTGGTGCTGCCTGGACAGCCCTGGGCCTGGAGGCAGCGCTGGCCAGGGCCTGACCCCGCCACCCTGCCCACCGGCAGGACGAGCCCTCCTTCCTGTGTAAGCTCCTGCTCCACCGCCAGACCCGGCCCTGCCCGCCAAGGCCCTGCCTGGTCAGCCCATCCCAGCAGCCTGGCTCAGACTGGCTTCCCCGCCCCCAGTCTCCTCCTGGCTGCCTCCCGCCTGGGGCTGGCCAACGCTTCTGACGTTCTAGCCAAAGCAATTTTACCAAATTAGGTGTGGTCAAAAGCAAGTTGCCCCACCTGGCAAATCTGTTAAAATAATGATTTGTTTGAAAATTCATGTCCCAAGTCACTGGTTTTCCTAGTTTCAGCCCTTTCAGCTCCCCGCAGGACAGGCTGCCACTTTACATCTTGAAACATTTCTCTCTCTCCTTTCGAAATATCCCTAAGCCTAGAAGTAATATGAATTTTAATTTCTGATCATTTCCTGCGAGTCCTTCTTGCTTGGAGCCGTTGGAATGGCAGAGGTTGGGAGCAATCTAAGCGCCTGACACCGGGGTGGGTCGGAGGAACAGACGCCTGCCGGTGGTAGCT